CCAAATCCTACCATACAGTAAGTTACCATAAATGAATAGGTAACTTCTTTTCTTTTGCATTTGAGAATTGGGAAAGTGAGCACAAATGTTAACTAATGGTCATGCCTTGCACTGTACTTTAAAAGTTCTCAAGCTGGAAGGAAATACTAATAAAGCATTTCAATTATGAAAGAAGTCTTAAAAACACTTCAGGACGTGGAATGAACCATCTGTGTACCCATCTGCACAGAAGATGATAGGGGGCCGGGCCTCACACTGTATCCTAGGAGGAAGGCCAATGCATCAGACATAGAAGAAAAAAGGGAAAACCACAAAAGTGCCAGGTAAAAGCATTCTTCTGTTGGTTATCCTCTTTTGACAAGGTATTTACCAGGTAGAGTCAAGGAACTGTTACAACTCTGAATCTGCTTCAAAGCCAGAAGTAAAGTAATCAGCTTGTGCCAGACAATGGAAGGAATGTCCAGGAGTAATGATTAGCCAGGCCTCCCTTGCAGGAGCCAAATGGTCCTCTTGAATCAACAGTTTCATTTATACTTCAAAAATACAAAACTGGCAGGGTGCTGGTGGTTCATGTCTGTAATCCTAGTTACTCAGAAGGCTGAGAAATGAGGATGGAGGTTTGAAGTCAGCCCAGGTTAAGTCCATGAGACTCTTATCTCCAATTAACTACCAGAAAATCTGAAGTGGCGCTGTGGCTCAAAGTAGCAGAGCACTAGCCTTGAGCAAAAAAGGTCAGGGGTAGTGCTTGGACACTGAGTTCAAGCCCTACAACCAACAACAACGATGAACTGTCATATATATGTGTATGTACAGACACACATACATATATGTGTATATATATGTATATATATTATATATGTATATTATATATGTATATATGTATGTATATGTGTAAGTATACACATAGATGTGTAAGCATACACATATATATACATATATATAATATCTGTACACATATATATACATATATGTAATATATATTCCTGAGGAATATTTTGGGGATGAAGCATTGAGTCCCAGATATCTGAAACAATCACTGTCCCTGAGATGACATTGGAGACAACATAAAAATATTGAAAATCTGTGCATGTCCAGGAAAAGTAGGTCCTCGACTCTTGAGACCACAAATGCATGTACACCCGAAAGGAAATGGTAGGGAGAGTCAGGGCACAAAAGAAAGATGCAACTCGCCTTGGATGGAGAGAAGCCAGCAAAGAAGGGAAAAGAGAAAAGTGGCTCTCCTGCCACCAAAGAATGAGGGGGTGTTCCTCTTCTTCATTCCCTTTCCTGGGCCTGGCCTCCCTCTGACCCTTCTGAGCCTCCCCACTCTTTCTGGGCCTTGGCCCTGTGGCTTGTGGAGTTCTCAAGCTTCTGAACACCAATCTTGAAAAGCTTGCATTGAATAAAGATTCAATATATAGAACCACGGCACAGGCAAAGCTTGCACTAAATAAAGATGCAACCTATGGAACTATAACACAAACTTAAAGAATGAAATTGCTTTTTTTTTTTTTTTTGTCGGTCATGGGGCTTGAACTCTGGGCTTGGGCGCTGTCCCTGTGCTCTTCAGCTCAAGGCGAGCGCTCTACCTCTTGAGCCATAGCAACACTTCCAGTTTTCTAGTGGTTTATTGGAGATAAGAATCTCACAGACATTCCTGCCTGGGCCTGCTTTGAACTGCAATCCTCAGACCTCAGCCTCCTGAGTAGCTAGGATTATAGGCGTGAGCCACCAGCGTCTGGCTGAAATTGCTTTTGAGGTATGATTTTAGTGAGTTTCGAAAAGGCTTGATTTTTTTCCTAAATCAAGGTGACAGCTGAGGTGGTACTTTTCAAGCTTTGGTAAAAAAAAAAATCATACATCTTTCATTATCACTGAATCTATGAACCAATCACTCAATGATACAACTCAGTGTGAAACAAGTACAAAAATATAACATCTTTGCAATAATGTTTTTTTCTCTTTTTACTTGTAGCTAAATGATGATCCAATGGTTGACTAGTTTCAGTATGTGAAGGTTAATAGTAAATTAATATTCAATAATACAAAGTAAATCTCTACCCTGCTAGTCTTGAGCAAAAGAAGCTCAGGGACAATGCCAAGGCCCTGAGTTCAAAACCCAGGACTGGCAAAAAATAAAAAAAAATAAAGTAAATCTCTACCCATGAACAGACAACAAAATGCCTACAAAAACTTGCAAATTAGGGGCAAAAAAAAAATAAAGAGAAAAACATCCTTAGCTAGACATCTAAATGCAAGAATACAGCATGTGTTGTCAAAGCTGGAAATATGGACTTTAATCCATTTTGTTATTGCTTTACTTTTTGAGATTGCAAAGGGAAAAAGTAACTCTTTGAATATAAGTATTCTATAGATTGGCATCTGACTGTCATACCTATATGATATATTTTAAGTCTGTTTGTATCTTCATCTTTAGTAAAGAGACATACAAGTTTTGGAAAATGGCCAGATGTTAAAGAAAAGTTCAACCTCTAAATTACCAACACTCGAGAATTCTAACAATATCCTATTATTTAAAAAAAATACTGCTAGCTAGGCTCCAGTGGGCCAGGAGGCTGAGATTTGGGCATCAGAGTGTGAAGCCAGCCAAGGCAGGAAAGTTTGTGAGACTCTTATCTTTAATTAATCACCAAAAAGCCACAAATGGAGTTGTGGGTCAGAAGGTAGAATGTTAGCCTTGGGCACCTAGGGACAGCCCCCAGGCTCTGAGTTCAAGCCCTAGGACTACCAAAAAAAAATAAAAGATTACTACTCTTAAATTATTGACACATAAATGTAACATTTCTATATTCTATATTTATTAGTGTGAGCTATTGCTTTACATGACAGATGATATTTGGATATACAAAGTCTATCAAAAATGTGGTTTTCCTTTTCAGAGATTTTTCTGAAGAACTTTTCCATCCCTCATTTTTTTATCCTTTCCAATTCAGAGATCATTTTTTTATTCTGGTGGCAAGAAAGTAGACTTTCCACTTGCAATAGCTATATTCCAATGGCAGATAGACAAACACACATACACACATACATGGAGTCATGGGACATGGAGAATATTATCGATAGGAGACCAATCTGAGAAACAACTCATCAGAGATTTTGTCATTTTGTATACATCCTAGAGTATATAATTTCACATACAACTATGGCTCCACCATCATCAGTGAATTTAATCTATAGGTGCTCTTCTGTATATGTGTTCTGTTGCAAACCAAAATGTCACTCTACAACATGTGGCTTCATATTTGCATTTTTGCCTTCATAATCCTTTCTTTATTCCAAGGATTTTAGAATCCTTTAAATCAACATAAAGATGGCTGCAAATAGTTTCATGATATATCTCATTACCATCTTTAGTTCTGAGTTGTACAATGGAATAACCCTACATAGACACACTATTTTCCTCCATTGAGGTCTGTCCCTGTTTTATTTCCAAATTCAAAAGAATATTGCTATAAATCCTTCATCTCCTTTTGAACTGCATTCTAGTTGTTTCAAGTGCTTTTTAAATTCATGTAGCTAGATAAGCTACTGATAAATATGAAAAATATTTACTTGTGGGTTAAAAGGGAAGCTCAGTGGTAGAGGACTTGCCTAACATGTGCAAGGCTCTAGGTTCAATCCCCTGTGCTACATCACACACCAAACAAATGCACACACCAACACACACCTGGGTGTGTGCTGAGTGCTCCAGCGCCAAGAATTCATAAGGGAAAAGACATGGTTATAGAACAAAGCTCAGCAGCATCCAAGAATTAATTGTCAAGGATATGGGCATGCATTTGTTTACAAAAACAATGTCCAATAGATACAAATATCAGGGGGAAAATCCTTATAGGCCTGTGTCATTCAGATTCCAATTTATGTGTAATGGGGGGGTCTATGCCACATCAGAATGATAAGATATATAAATGCAAAAACGAAGCTTATAATTTCAAAGATAGCCAAGACTTTTTGTTTGTCAGTTGGTGGGACCTTAAACATCTAGATTGTAATAGATCCAGTGTTTCCAAGTAATTCAATCTCCATTACCCAAGGCACCTAGGCTGTCACAAGTTTGGATCATGGTGGTGCCAGCTCCTTATTCAAATGACCACATGTTTATGTGTTGATATGTGTAAACACACTTACAGTTATCTAAGACCAGATCATTACTCAACTTCTAACATCCCAATGATGCCCTCAGAAACACAAATAGAAGACTCTATATTTGTTTGGTTACATAAAGAAAAACATCCCTATGTTATACATAAATCCTACATCGATTCTAGTGAAGGGGACTGATGAGAAAAACTATGTAAATCTATGATACATTTGATCAGAATAAGCTTCTGGATATCGGATACTGGATATGTTGGGAGCTTGGAAGAATGTCACTTACATAATAACTAGATTTCTTCTCTAAGAATGACAGAAATGCCACTTCTGAGAGAATCAATGAAAGGGCCAACTCATCATTTCAATTCCTGGACTTTTCTACTACCCCATTGGGTTTCCTTTCGTCCTAAAAGATGTATAAACTGGGTTGGATAAATAATTGGCAGCCAGTAAATAAACTTTGCTATTATTCCTTTTGTTCAAAAAATATTTAAAAAGAAATTTTTTTCAAAAAAATAAGTATTGGTAAATAGAAATGTTTTTAACAAGGATCTTCAGTATTAAAAACCTACATAGATCACTAACCACCTTTGGTATTGTTACATAGGAGGCATAAAACCTGTATCATCTAGTGTCCCTCCAAATCTTTTCAGCAAATGAGTTCCAAAGAAGTTATGTCAGGTCTGGATTTGGAAAAGTATTCTTTTCCTTAAATTCCAAGAGAAATATAGCCTATTAACCCTGAAAAATAAAATCTGGTTGTCACCTTAGTACAAATTAAATAATCAAACATGATTTCATCTTCCTCCGATATTTCTCCCAAGACATGACAGCCAGTTCTTGAAAAGCTATTGACTCCTACAAGTGGAACTTAGTTTCCTTACCTGGCACTCTCTTTGCCCAGTTGATCATGTGAACCAGCTCCCTGTCCGCCAGGTTGGTCAACAAGCCCATCATGGAAGCTTCACTGAAGGGTCTAGAAGGATCGTACTCAGAATAGATGATGGGGGGCTCAGCCTCCAACAAGGCACTGACCATCTGATCGGCTGTCAGGGACAAGGCTGGGCTGTTCTTCTTCGTGTGCTTAATCACCAGGGGGCTGGGCCACAGGTTGGCAGCTCTCATGTCTCCCGAGGGCCCCACTTCATTCCTGCCCTCCACGTCATCTCTCTGGCGCTTGTGTTTCAACATTCTCCCTCCTCTTCTGTCTTTCCGAATGCCTGAAAATGCAGGGGGGACAACTCATTAGTCAATTTTCAGATTCTTGTGCCCTTTCATACAAAAACTACCTTCAGAGCTAACACTTGTCCTGGGGTTTGAATTCAGGGCCAGGGCACTGGCCTTGAGATTTTTTTAATGCTCCAGGCCAGTGCTCTACACTTGAGATACTGCTCTACTTGTGGTGCTAGTTAACTGGAGATGAGAGTCTCCAGTTAACTTTTCTGGCCAGGCTGGCTTCAAACCTTGAAGATCTCAGACTTGTAAGTAGCTAGGATTAAATGCATGAGCCACTGATCTACAAATTCAATGCGATACCTATCAATATTCCAACCTCATTCTTCAAAGAAATAGAAGAGGCAATCCAAAAATTCATATGGAACAATAAAAGACCCTGAGTAGCAAAAAGG